TACTGTACACATGTCTAATCTAAAGTTCCCATTTCTTTGTTACATGGGAATTACTCCCATGTAACTTGGTATAGGAAGAAGAAGAAGAGTTTGGATTTGATATCCCGCCTTTCACTCCCTTTAAGGAGTCTCAAAGCGGCTAACATTCTCCTTTCCCTTCCTCCCCCACAACAAACACTCTGTGAGGTGAGTGGGGCTGAGAGACTTCAAAGAAGTGTGACTGGCCCAAGGTCACCCAGCAGCTGCATGTGGAGGAGCGGAGACTCGAACCTGGTTTCCCAGATTATGAGACTACCGCTCTTAACCACTACACCACACTGGCTAATTTGTTGATCTGATGCATTTTACTTTATTGACAAGCAAACATGAAACTTCTAAAGAAAGTGCATACTTTACTTTATTTTGCACCTGTATAGATTGCAAATGCATAATCTTAGAAGAGGGCCTCATCTTGTGTATGAAAGGAAAGCAAATCTATATTGAACCTTCTATATGCATTTTTGTATTAATATTACAAATAATTAAAAATAATGGATTTTAAAAGATAAAATGTTTTGTTTTTTTTAAGGAATCACTTATTTCCCCACATTTTCCATTCTGTATTCGGCTCTGAAGACACCATTGGGTTTACTTCTGAATAGATGGAGATAAGGTTGCACTATCATTTGGAGCTGTGGGATATGAGAGGCAACCAATGTCTCCTCTTCATTAGAGTCTACCAGGGCCCGTAGCACAGTGAAGAAGTGCCAGAAATGGAATCATGGCTAGATTTAAAGGGTTCTTCCTGCAGATAGCTCCAGCTTGGAGCTGGACTGAATAATTTTCTGTTTCTCTCTGGTATTCTCTAACTCCATCTTGGCTGCGAGTTCTGCAGAGGCCTGATTAATTCCAGCTACAAATGCTGACGCTGCTGAAGAGGCCAGACACCTGCAGTCCTCCTGAGGTTGCTGGATTCCAACTGCTGTCAGCCCCAACTAGCATAGCCAATGGCCAGGGATTGTGGGAGTTGTAGTCCAATAAAATCTGTACAGGTTGCCCATTCCTGACTCCAAACCTTACTGCCTGCCAGGTAGAAAGACAGAGGAGGAGCAGGATTGCATGAGGGAGGTTGTGCGTTCTGGAAGTGTTTGTGCTACAATTTATAACATGTATATAAGAATATTTCATTTATAACGTGCTTGACTATTTTTATAGTGTGGCTCACCAGCACAGGGACAACTAGCTATCATTCTACTTTTAAAGATGGGAACCTGCATCTGGAAAAAACCACTTGCCCAGGAACACACAAATAGCAGCAGTGGGCATGAACTCAGGTCTCCAAGATCCCAGTCTATTTCATTGTGCACATGCTCTGTGATCCCCCCCCCATGTTATCCAGTGGTTAGACCCATCACCACAATGAGGAGCCACAAATGTCTCTCCACTGCTGGGATTAAGGGCAACTACCTCTAGGGCAGAGAAAGCCTCCAGGCTGGTTTGAGAGCCTCATGCAAATTAGCCACACTAAATGTAAGTGTTCCAAAAGGTCAAGGTAACACATGCAAAGTAGGTAGCTGGAGACAGTAAGCCAAACTAGACACTGCGGGAGTCCGAAGGTGGGTGGAGGCAGAAGGCAACTTGTGACTTGGTGAGTAATCTTAAAAGGATTGTCCCCGTCGAAGGGCGCACATGCATTCTTCACTAAACGTATAAACCACGGGAGCAGCTCCAATTGCAGTTCACACTGATAATCTGTGATGAATGAACGAATCGATTCAAAGCGCTGATCAATCCACGAACGCTTTCACCCTTACCATGTTTTTTATTTCCTCTCCTCTTTTTCGAATGGATTAGTGCAAAATCCAGGACGTTCCAAGAATCAAGCCTTTGTTCGCTGCCGTGCCGGTCTATTCTCCGGAGTTTTTTTCCTGTATTATCGCGGTTTGTGAAAGGCTTTGAAGTCTGGTCATTCATTACCCTTCTGTCCTTAGCTCTGCACTGCATGGAGAGAGAGAAGCGCTGCCTCTTATCTGTATTTCTGCACTGTGCAAAATGCGCTTCCCGTCAAGTGTGCGAGCGCGCGCGTGATCTACCTCCAGCAGTAGTACCTCTGGAGCCCCTACTCTAAACACAAACAGTCGAAGGTCGTACAAAATTCAGCAAAAATGGGGAAAAGGCTCAGTATAGTATTACTCAGAATCCAAAATAGACTTAATATTATCAGGCGCAATTTGTCTGGCGCTCTCGCAGCACAGCGATCGCCCCGACAGTTCTCACGACACGAGGTAGCTCTTTACCAATCTGAGAGAGAAAGGACTTATTCTTCAGCAACAGAGGCTGTATGCGGACACCTGCGTGCTTCTCTATTTCCGCGTTAACTGTGTTTAAGGTTAGAGTGGGAGAAATTGCACGGCTTTAAGGGCAGAAAACATTGCTCCATAAGTTGACATTTTGGCCAGGTTCAGAATCCCCAATTCTTTCATCAGCCGGGAAGGGGGCTGGGGCGGGGAAGCTAGGAAACGATCGCTGCAACTTAGGGTTTGAATTTAAGAGGAGTAGAAGGCAGATGACAAAGGGTGGGGAGAGTAAAAATCCGATATGTTTAAAAATCGATAAACACCCAATCACAAGGCGCTGATGTAATTTGGTCTGATGTATTAGGGGAAAGATGTCCTTAACTTCGGGTGTCATGAAAACGCTCACAATGCAAGCCAATCAACCCACGCTTCGGTTGTTCTTGTTAAAGGGCAGGCGAAATCGTGGTTCAGCTTTACTGGCCTCTCTCCAATGCGTATAAAACTATATAGATCTGTGCGTGCCGTGGATGCAGAGGTGCTTGCACAAAGTCACTTCAGGCGGATTAGTTACTCTCCTACTACCTCGTTGTCAAGACATGCCGCCGCCGCCACCACCACCAAATCCTTTGCCAAGCGCAGTAGATAGTCCCGGATGGCTACCAACCCCAATACTATAGCAGCCGCTATTACCTAGTAGGGACAGGAGCGCAAGGGCTGGAAAACGCCCTCCCTGGTGCTCGTGGTGTGTTTGGAGGGCGGGCAGAACTAAAGAGTGCGAGTTGTCCTGGAGCAGGGATGGCGAAGCTGTGGACAGCCAATGTTTTTTGTTGGACTCCAACTCCCATCAGCCCCGTCCACCATTGCAAATGATGAGGAATGATGGGAGTTGGAGTCCAAAGCATCCGGATGACCACAACTTCCCTATCTCTTTTGCCTAAAGATTAGACAAATTCATGGCGGAGTAGGTAGGCTCTCAGTAGCTACTAGTCATGATGGCTGTGATCTGCCTCCAGAGTGCGAGACAGAATGCTTCCCAAAATCCGAAACCGCAGAGAGGGAAAGTGCTCTTGCGCTCAGGTTCCGCTTGCGGGTTTCCCGTTAAAGCTTCTGGTTGGCCATTGTGAGAACAGCATGCTGGACTAAGGATCCAGCAGGACTCTTCTTATGTTGACTAATAACTTTAAAACGTGTCTGTTCACCCAGGCATGTGGCAGCTGGGAGATGCTGCTTCTGGCAGCCTTGAAACTATTAACTGTGTGAGTGTATGTTTCACATGTTATTAACATTTTTTAAAAGGTTTAAAATAGTTTTTAAATGTTTATCTCATTTCTAATGCTGTTTGCCACCCTGGGCTCCCTTGGGGAGAAAGATAAGTTAGCAAATAAATAAATAAACAAACAAACAAACAGGCATGTGATGAAGTATACATAGTGAAATATTTACATTTTGTAAAACGACGACGACGACGACAGTAACGGAAGGAAACTCGTTTTGAAAAGTATGCCTCGTGTTCTTTGATCTCTGTTTTCAGCTGAGTAATTGGATATTGTCCTAAGTTGCAGGCCAGTGCAAAACCAGTGTGCCAGAAGAAATTAATTCTGTATTAAATTATCGAGGAGGCAGTTATGGCGATAGACCTGGAAACTCAGCCTCACTGCTTGGGAAATGCCCCGTCCCATATCGCAACCTAAAGCGCATTTCTTGCGCAGTTTCACTCCTCGCTCCCTCTGCCTTAACTCTCGGTCACCGGCCTCATTCCTCAATTCTCGTTTGTAGTTTGATTTACGGTAGGTAGAAAATCCCCTTGACCCCAACAGGGTTCTTTCTGAGTAGACACCTGCGCATCTTCAACTACGCCCCACTAATTTCACTTGCTCTTACTTTCCAGCCAGAACGCAGGCATCAGTAATCTTTGACCCCGGATTACTGACTCGCAGTAACCACTCTTGGTGGCTCCACATTCACAGTCAGCAAAGTGGGCGAGACTCTCCAGTTTCACAAAGTAAGTGAAAGGGGAGGCCTTCCTCTTAACCTCCTTTTCTTATGAGTGTGATCGCATGGTTAAGTAGAAACTAATTCAAAATTCAAAATAAAAAAACACCACTCTCTGAATGGTCAGGATCTTCCCCCTCCTGTAATGCTCCAGACCCGAGTTCACAGCGTCTAGGTTTAAGGGACTGGTGCGCCCATGTTAAGGACATTCCCAAAGGTTTCCTGGTGTTCAGTTGCGCGCTTGCGGCGCAAAGTCGTCTGGCTTCTACTGGCTAATAAAGACACCACGGGCAGGATCCTGCTTTCGGAGGAGAGGCAAGGGGGCGTTGCTGGTTGGGCTCGTTGGCCAAGAAGGCGGGCTAGCTAGCCAAGTGCGTTGGCTTTTTGCTGAGCGTTTTCCTCGCGGCCCTCCAGAAGCAGAGGCACAATGGCACCGCGCTGCCTGCCAGTCCCGTGGCCTTTCCTGCTGCGCGGCGGACGTGCACCTGTAGCTCCCACAAACCAGCGCCCCATTGGACCATCCGCTGCGCAAAAGAGACGGCGACGGGCAGCAGGCAGCGCTAACTGGAGAGTGGCAGGAGAGAGCGCGCGCGCCAGCCTCCTCCCCCGCCGGCCCCGCCTCCTGTCCAGGAGCCGTCTAGGTGTGCGCGACCCCCTCCTCCTCCCTCCACTGCCCCCCTCCACCTCCGCCTGGTCCAGCTCTGATTGGCTGTCGCTGTTGGTTAATGGCACGCGCCTGCGGTTGTAGTTATAAGAATCCTCGCGTGCCAGCCCTCAGCTCGTGTAAGTCCGCAGCCTCCCTCTGGGGAGAGAGCGCGCGCGAAAGCCCGAGGCAGGAGTCGCGGCAAGTCGAGGCGCCGCAGGAGCCCGAGGCGGGGGGCTGAGGAGAAGGAGGCGGCAGCGGCGGCGGCAGCGCCTGGCCTCGTCCCGCTCCCTGCTGGACCGTGTCCCGCGAGGCGGGAAAGAAGCCCGCCATGGAGGCGGTGTTGCTGGAGCACTTCCCCGCGGGGTTGGACTCTTTTACCTCAGCGCCTTACTTCGACGACGAGGACTTCTTCACCGACCAGTCGTCCCGCGACCCCCTGGAAGGCGACGAGCTGCTGGAGGCCGACGTGGACTTCCTGACGCCTCAGTTCCAGGCCTGCTACCGCGCCGGCGGCGATGGCGACGGAGGGGCCTGCCTTGGCGCCGGGCCCGGGGGTCAGCCGGAGGGCGCCTTCTGCTGCGAGGGGGCGGCGGGCAGCTTCTCGTCGTCCTTCTCGCCGCCGTCGTCGCCGTCGTCGAGCAGCTTCGGGGCCGAGTGCTGCGGCAGCGCGGCGTCGCCCCGGGCGGGCCTGAAGGCGCTGAGCGCGGCGGCCGCGGCCAGGCGCCGGCGCCGGGTGCGCTCCGAGGCCGAGCTGCAGCAGCTGCGTCAGGCGGCCAACGTGCGCGAGCGGCGGCGGATGCAGTCCATCAACGACGCCTTCGAGGGGCTGCGCTCGCACATCCCCACGCTGCCCTACGAGAAGCGCCTCTCCAAGGTGGACACGCTGCGCCTCGCCATCGGCTACATCAACTTCCTCAGCGAGCTGGTCCAGTCCGACCTGCCCTTGCGCGGCGCCGGCACCCAAAGCCCCTGCCAGCCCAAGAAGGTCATCATCTGCCACCGCGGGACAAGTAAGTGCGGGCGCCGCCCTCCGCCCGGCACCCGAGGGAGGCGCTGGCCGAGGAAGGAAGGCGCTTCCTGCGCTAAGGCGGCTCTCTCGGAAAGCAGCTTAGGCGCGCGCCTCAAGACCCAGGCGCCCTCGCCGTCTACTTCAAGCGCTGCGCTCGTGTTTGCCTCGCTTTCTCCCCCAGGAAGACATGTACACGCTGGCATCACCCACCCCTGAAAACTCCACCTTAAGCTCCTCTTACACTCTGCCACACTATTTCCTCCAACCCTGGCACGCAAACATACCCAACGACAGCACCCACTCTCGGACTTTTAGGGTTGGCGTTTTCACACGCGGGGAGACCCGCAGACGCGCGCGCAGAAATTCTCACCCGCACGTACACAGGCACATTTGTTGTACACAGACGCAAATGCAAGCAGCCCGGGAAGGTAAAGAGGAAGGAGCGCACGCAAGTGGAGACAGCAGGCGCTCGCTGTTTCTAAAGTGCGCTCCTCTCGCCCGCACCCGCAAACTCTTCAGGTCTAGGTTGGAAAGGAATCTCCGCCACAACTAGGCATTTCTCTCTCTCTCTCTCTCTCTCTCACTCTCTCTCACACACATACACACACACACGGCCAAGCGAGCACACGGATTCATGTGCGCGCCCTAGATTCAGGAGGGCTCGTCCTACGGAGTAGTACAGGCATATGCGCCTTTTGCGCGAATACAAGGCGCCTCACTGTGGATAGGAAAAGATTTAGAAATCTGGCTGGTTGAAGGGAGACTCCTACGTGCTATGCTAAAAGTTTCTCCTAACCCCTTTCGCACTCTAAAGGAATGCGCTTCCTAGTCGGGGTTTTCCTCCAAGCACCCAGGAGCAGTCTGGGTGGAAAAAAATACCCTTTTGGGGGGAATTGGGATGCAGATATTAAGAGTTCTCTCGATATTTGATAGATAACCGCAGGGCGGTGTGCGTTGCCGCTGCGTGCAACAGGCGTTGAACGCCAAGGTTAGCCAGAGCACCTGCTGCTGTCCTGCGCTACAATAGCCTAGAGAGAAAACGGGGCGCTTTGGCGCAGGTGCTGATTCTTCCTGTTTTCGGTGAGAATATTGCGATTGTGATTCACCCCTCTTCCTCTCTATTTCTCCAGGATCACCTTCTCCAAGCGACCCAGATTATGGACTTCCTCCTTTGGCTGGGCATTCTCTCTCCTGGACTGACGAGAAACAGCTGAAGGAACAAAACATTATTAGGACTGCTAAAGTGTGGACCCCTGAAGACCCTAGGAAATTAAACAGCAAGCCTTCCCTAAACAACATAGAAAACGAACCCCCCTTTGACTTTGTAGCATGAAATGTGAAAGTTACTGGGTTGTAAATATCAATAATCTTTATTACCAGTGTACATTTGTACTTAAAGGCATATATTTTTTGAAGGTACTTTACAGAAAGGTATTCTAATGGCAATCAACTTTTTTTTTATTTATCTATTTATTACTGCTTAGAGTTACAGGAATAGAACTGTCCTTTTGAATGTATAATTTATATAATTTATGCTAATTTAAAAATATGCAATGAATTTGAGATTTATCCACCAGCACCTTTTGGGCACAATTCTTTGTTGGAAAAAGAAACATACATCCCAGAAAATGTGAACATAATTTATTACGATTTGTCGAATATGCCAGTTATATTTTATTATTAATAAACTTTGATTAAATCTGAAGGTGATTTTATTTGGAGGGGTGTGTGCATGAATGGGTGGTATATGTGTGTATGAGGGCATCAGTGTTCAGCTATAACTTTAAACTGGACAAAACTACCTTGATCCCAAGAGAAGTTGCTTTGAGATGGGAATTGGTCTGTACCTATGCATTTAGCAACAGGAGACTTATCCTGCATTTACTATCAGCAGTTTTCTGGCCACATCTATGATGCAAAATCCTAATCCCAGTTTATTCTAGAGTAGAGTGACTCATCTGGATAGGATTACACTCGTGTTGCAACCTTTCCTTGCAAAAACTTCACCTACAAAATTTCCATGGGTCTGGCTCTCCTTCTGACACACAAAGAAGTGAATGTTGAACTCAAAAAAAGTTTGGAGACATATACAGACCATGGAGAGAATGGGTAACATTAATTTTAGTGTTTCAGTCTTACATTTTTATTCTCTACCGTGATACTTTTTCCTATAGATTTGTTTTCTTCTGACAGCAGAAAGTCCTAGTTATAATTTTTAATGAGTTTTGATGACCCATTAATTTCAAATGAGTTCATAAACAGCCTTGGCCAGGTGAGATGAGAAATATCTCTTGGGACTGATATAGATGCATATATGTATAAAAAGATGGGGAACGGGGATCTTCTAACAACTCACAGCACCCTTAACAAACTACAGTTCCCAGGATTCTATGACTTTGTAAAGTGGCATGATACTGCTTTAAATATATAGTGCGGATGAGGTCTCTATATATTGGATGCTATTTTGGACAAATAGCACTAGGAAGAAGTGAGATAAAAAACACTAACGGGGCATGGTGAGTAAGGCTGGCCACTGTGAGAACAGGATTCTGGCCTGGGTGGGTCACTGGCCAGATCCAGTGGCTCTTCTTAGAATCATAGAGTTAGAAGGGACCCTGAGGATCATCTAGTTCAACTCCCTGCAATGCAGGAATATGCAGTTGCCCCATATGGTGGTCGAACTTGCAGCCTTGGTATTATCAGCACCACTTATGTTCTTAACAATAAAGGCAAAGGTTTGAATCTGTAGATAAGTAAGTAAGGCTGTACTGCAAATTAAAATCCCTTCCCCATCAATGGATCTATGAGACTGAAAGCAAGTAGAGACACAGACCTCTTGAACAGTATAGAGGCTGCAGAACCTTTCTAGCTGTCAGCTGCAATGGGGAGGATGCATTCAAATCCATTTTTTTCACAATACTGATGGGTATTGAATTTTTTTTTAAAGTTCTTATTGCAAGAGATTATTCCTTTTGTGGGGGATCATCTCCTTCTAAAAATTAACTGTCCTTTGAAAGGACATGTTAATTAAGGAACACCTCCATTAAGATTCTGTATTGTGCACGTCTTTGATTAATCAATTAAAATGCACCAATTTTCAAAAGAAGTTTTGGTTTAAGCCCATCATCATTATTAGCAATAAGAATCCTTGCAGCAGCACAGATTACTTTCAGCCTCAGTTTTTCATCCATAAAATAGGGATAAACGTGATTTAACTCCAGATGGAGGCGAGATTAGTGTGCATCTTAAAATACCGAAAACGCGATTCAGAGCAATGAACATCAACCGACGGGAAATAACCCTAAATAAGCATCTTACCCCAACCCGCCTCCCACCCAAGCAGCAGGGCAGCGTATGCAGAGATGGAGGAAGAGATGGGATACAAACCTCTTGCCCGGAGAAGCAACTTCAGGGCAAAACGTTCTCAGGCCTCCCTTGGAGATTGGAGGGCTGCTTTAACTGAGATTCCTGCATTGCAGGGGGGGTTGGACTAGATGACCTTCGGGATCCCTTCCAGCTCTGCCATTCTATGATTCTGTGAAAACGGGGAGTGATGGTGTTGCCCTGGCCAGGAAGAAGTGGCTTGTTTGACAAGAAGCCCTGTGTTGAGCGGCAGCCCTCAAACACCTTAAAAGGTCTTTTTTATTATTTATTGGAGAAGAAATAAAATAAGAAAGAGGATCGGAGCCCAGGAGATGTTAGACCAGGGCAGCAGCACCCCTCTCTCTGCACCTGTAGGAGTGGGACCTTGGTGCCGGGGGAGTTAATGTGTGCCGTGTGTGTGTGTGTGTGTGTGTGTGAGAGAGAGAGAGAGAGAGAGAGAGAGAGAGAGAGAGCGCCTTCTGGCCGCGCTGGGCTGCTGCTGCCCCGGCCGCAGGTGCTGATTTTCCCGTGGTACCCGCCGCTTGCGAGGCCTGGCGGGCCGGGTGGGTGGGCAGGATGGATCCCCCCGGGGAGAAGATCCCAGATGCCCAGCCCAGGCCTGCAGCTTGAGCCGGGAGCCTTTGCGAGCTGCCCCGGGCTGCGCTGCTCAGCCGAGCGGATGGGAACCGCGCGGAGTCCCCGGTGGATAATCGCGCCCCCCCTCCCGCCCGCCACTCCGGTAACTTGGGGTTAGGGGGAGCAAGATGATGGCCTGGCTCTCGCCTAATTGCATTAACCTAGATAGGCCAGCCCGACCGGCCTCGTGGATCCCTTCCAAGAGCAATTACCCCCCACTTGGCCACATCAGATGGGGCCAAAGCCCCCCCCCCCGCCACGCAGTCTGCTCCCCGCATCCCGCAATCCCTGCAAAAGGAGAAGAGGAAGGAACGAGGAGGAGCTGGAGAAACGCAGCGAGGCTCTTGCAGCGCGGGCGAGAGAAGGAGGGCGGCAAGCAGCCCAAGTTCTAATTCGATTTTGCCCTGTATTAGGTCCTCATTAAACACAGAAAGTCGCCTTGGCACAAACGCTTCCAGGAGGCATGTAATCGCATTACACTCATTAGAAAGTCAAATGGTCGTCGGACTGCAGCATAGTCGTGGATCTGAGTTAGGGAAGGGCCGGTCCCGTTGGCTGTGTGTGTGTGTGTGTGTGTGTGTACTCGATTGGACGTGCTGCTGTGGCACTGCACAATTCAAACACTACACGCATTGTTAAGGGGCACCTTTTCTTCGGCCGTGCCACTTGTGTGTGTGGTTTTTGTCATTCAATGCCTCATCACCCTCCTTTAGTATGGTGCAGATCAAGCGGAAGAGCCGGCCTGCGCGGGGAAAACACCAGGGTCTCTATCTTGTCAGTCTCCCGTCTTGACTTGGCAAGTCCCTTTAAAAGGCCGGCTTCAAAGAGGCTGACAGGTTCTTGGGCGTCCGCTCATAAATCCATTCAGCCCAGTTGCAGCAATTTTGCTATTAATATTATTATTACTGTATTATTATTGCATAACTTCCATTTCAGACCCTGTCTGCTCCCCAAAGAACCCCTCCCAACTCCCACCACAAGCCCTACTGGCTTGGAAGTTGCAGCAGAAAACTATCAAGATATGGAAGAGCCGTAGCAGTGGGTGGTTGGGGGGGGGCCGTGGAAAATATTGCTTGGCACTGGAAGGAACCAGCGTGTGGGCTCGCATGACTGACAGCAATTCAAGCCTTTGAAATCAGCCTCCCCTCTTCGCCCCCCCAAACAATAACAATATTCATAGATGTGCCCCCTCCCCTTGGGTTGGTGGGTTTGTATTCAAATGAATTATGCATTCACACTCTCTCTCACACACACACCGCTCAGCTGCCTGATCGGAAGTAAGCAGCCTTTATTTATTGTTGCTGAAGCAACAATAACCGAATCAGCTTTCAAAATAATCCAGTTGCAGGTTTTCCAGCAAGATTATTGTGATCTGGTTGACCACACGATACCTGATCTACAACTAGAAATAGTCCTTTCAAAGTTGCCTGCCAGTCAAATGGGGGGGGGTGATGATGGGAATTATGAAAACGATGCTGGTCATTATGTTGCTTGGTCGCTGCCTATGAAAGACCCAGACCAAAGCCTGACTGCTCCAGGACTGGCCTCAGGGTGGCCTTTGCATGCCCCTCCCCTCCCCAATGTGCGAAGGCGCAGGCTCGGGTTATTTATTTATTTTGTTATTTCTAAACACCCAAAGCAGGCACAAAAGCTGCAAGCATTTTATTTAAGTTAGCTCCTGAACTTTTCCTGCTTCTTGTCAGCCAAGTTGTCCTCGCCCTTGAGGCCAACAGCATTCGTGATGTCCCTTAAATCCCACTGAAAAGGCCATTTCGTCGTACACAAAGCAGGCGCAGAGAGACCATTAAAAACCTCGAAGCATCAATCTCTTTGGGGAAAAGGTATGGGAAAGGAAGTGTCTCTCCTCCTGCAAGCAAAGGCAGGGTTGCAGGGAGACTTGAGAACCTGCTCCTTGGGATTCCCAGGCCTTCTAATCCGCCAATATTAGGATTAAGGCCCCTATAATATATGGGGTGTGAAACCTCGGCTAGGCATGAACTCATCCCATTTTCATTAAGGTCTCTTTTGCAGTGGCACCGAGGACCAGCTGCCAGGATGAACAAACACCAGTTGAGTGTCCCTGGTAAATCTCACTCCTCTCCTCCTCCTCCCCCTTTTTTATCCCTCTCTCCCCATCTCTTTCTTTCCACCCCACCCCCTTTCTCCCCCTCCCCAAGGCCTGTGGGAATGGGCCCGCGCTCATTCCACAACAAATTGCATTTTCTAGATCTGGAAGCCTTAGGAGGCAGCGATTCCCACGACGGGATGTGAGGTCTGGCCAACAGGTGTTCGGATTTGGCCGAGGGAGATAGGAAAGGAGGCTGGGGAAGGGAGAAAGCTTTGCTGCCAGGAGAACAGGCTGCCCGGGCGCCTCTTGCCTTTTACATGGCGTGGAAGCCGCAGACAATCGAAATGATATCTTTATTGCTAGGTTCATGTCCTGGGCTATAACATATCAATCCCTGTCGGGTTTCCCTCGGATGCACCTGGTATTTCAAACTTGTTCTTTTTGTGTTTTTCTGGGTGCTGAGCTGCAGCTGCCTAAAACAAGCAAAGGGAGAGAGAGGCCCTTACAATGTCTCCAAGACGTGTTGGCATGGTTTGCTTGTCTTTAATGTACCATTAAGCATTGTCTTGACACAATATGGGAACTGTAAAGCATGGCATGTGTTATAATAAAACACATTTTCAATGATGCACTTGCAG